CCTACAGAGATTACATTACTGAAAATAACATAAAAATATAAAGTTTTTCTTAAGAAATGTTTGATAACTATCTAGTCATTATAAAGATTTCGCGTGTGAAATTTGATAATTTTCTGATGCATAAAAGTATTTTTAATCTTCAAATGAAAATTACTTTGCAAGTTGGATAAGCAACATGCAAAAAGAAAAAAGGAATGAGAAAAATACTGCTTAACAAACCATAAGACTTAAAAAAAAATTGATATTTTGAGTATGAAAGTCTGGTAATGTTCACCGATAATCTGCCAAATTTCATGAACGTATGCTTACTAATTTAAAGTTATAGCATGAAAACTATAACAAGCACAAAATGGTTACCAGCTTTAAATCACTGCTGGAAAACAAAAACTGAGTCCCAAAGTGACTTGAAAAACACCACAACCATCTTTTTAATTCTTTTCATCTTCTGTGTTTAAATGTTAACATATATTCCACAAACAAACATATTTTCTTACTTTACTTTCCTCTTCTCCCCCTGCATCTGTTTCAGTTTCCTGAAAACAAAACAAATAGTAAATACATAAAACATCTATATTTACATATTGAAAACACAATAAAAACAAGCAAAACCTAGTAGAAATTGGCAAAATAAAGTATTAACATCATGCTGTGGGATTCAACAAGCCTTAACAATTTGGCATGTGTACAAGTAGCCTGAAGTTTTTATACCAAATGTAATAAAGTGTGAATATAAAATACAAAGTTTATACAGAATTTGTAAAAAGTCTACCATTAAAGTGGTAAGAAACAGGACTTTCTAGTATATGCTATTTCAGTTTCTAGTTCCATCAATTTTGCTGTATAGAGAAAATGTTTTTTTTGTTCATCATCATTTTGTGTTATACCCAAAAGAGAAAGATCATGCATAGATCATGGATGTGCCAAGAAAAGATTAGTACCCCAAGTGGGAAACCTTGCTATATCCTGAACAGGTATGTTCTTCAACCTGAACTTAGTTCCTGTATCAAGGGTGGAATTGTACATGAGTGATCATCACTATAAGCCAGCCCCAAACAGATGGCTGAGGTTCCACTATTCAGGGTTGGAATTAAGGGGTCTTAGTCCTTATATCCCACATTGGTGGCTAGGGCAATTGAATCGCAATGTTACATATAGATATACTTTTGATTGGATCCCAACCTGTAGCCATAGAGTTATGAATTCCAAACCACCAGAATCACGATGAGAAAGTAAGCAACACCAAAGTGGACAAACCTTCTCCTCCACTTGAAGAAGCCCAAATGGCAACACCCCAGGCTCGGAATGACGCGATCGTGTATACCATACTCAACCAAAGGAACAGAATTCGTCTGGTCTAGAATTATTAACATTCATCCATCCTCACTCCTCAACCAAGTGGGCAAGGAGCCACAACTGGGTAGCTGAGCATCAAATTTGAACCGATATTACGAGTAAGCTGGTGCCACTTCTACCAACATCCAGGTAGGCAGGACCCACAACTTTGCCCTCTTTTACAAGACTAGAGGAAAAACCTCTGTCCACTACCCCAATGACTGGAAACTAGGTGTGGTAAGGACTTCCTAGCTCCACTAGTACAATCTGGGGGGTAATGCACATTGGGGAGTCCTGAGAAACACAGTGCTTTGGAAACAGTGCAATAGGTGAACCAAGTTCCCTATATTTTTAAAAGCAAACTTACACCCATTCATTCAATCTGATGATCGACAGGGACAGGCAGGATCCCCTTTAGCTTTATTCATGATAGTCCATGAGTGGTGGTCCAGCATAGTATGGTAATATCACCTGATGAGCTCCTAGGTGGTCTTATGGAACACCTTATTTCTACAGAACCTGTTCCAGCCAGTAGTAATTATAGAGAAATAGTGGTTGCTAGTGCAGAATTGGTTCGATAAAAGCACACTTGTTTTGGCAACACTCACCACAGAGTGGAATCCTGTGAAAACAAGGTAAGGAACCCTGAAAGGTAGAAATCAAAATACTCACCTCTCTGGATAATCTAGCAGAAATAGTTAAGATACCTACAAGGGGTAGTCAAAAACTCTCAGATGAAGAGGCTGTCAGATAAGACAAATAATGTAAGATAAAGGTATTTGGGGAGGTCCACATGCCAGTCCGCCTAGTGACCTCCAGCGGGCAATTCGATCAGGCTGCTTAAGACACAGAAAAGATAAATGTTATTAGATGCAACTCACAGGAGATACCTCGCCTTCAAAGAGAGCCCTGAATAAAGTGTTATCTAGTATCTCTAAAGGTATGAGTGCAGGCAACAAAACCTTCAAAACCCTCAGTGAACATGCTCAAGATCGTAATCTGGTTGGACATAGAGAGAAAGAGTGAGTAGATGAATTGGAGCAAAGGATTGAACCCCTTTCCTGTCTAACAGTGTTGGTCTGAGGATGTAGTGAGAATGAGAAAGTGGTTTGTGGACAAACAGTTCAAATCACTCTGACCGGTGATGTCTGTGATCAGTAGCTATGAAAAATAAACCTGCAGGTAAAGGAGATACATGGTATATGAGCGTCAGGTCACAAACAGGTGTGGAGAAAGAACATGTAACCTAAATCTACCTGTTAGGTAACTGGAAAGGTCATTTGAGACCAATTACCCAAAATGATGTGAGGAATCTGGATAGTACCAGGACTCAAAAGTATGTAGTTGCAATAATCAAATGGTAGTCAATAAGGTCACTGTAAACAATAGCAACTGTGTAAAATGCAAATACCTCTGTCAAAGAACCAAGTAAAAAAACATGTTATGGTTGACACCACTGATTGAAAAGGATTCAACCTCCTTTCAATACAACACTGCCAATAGGCATGTCATTACCTTTGAGAAAAGTGGCTTTCAGACAAAGCAGAAACTAAGCCAGATACATGTCAACCTTAAAAATTAAACCTCAATGGCATGTGAAAAACAGCATAACCTCTATGCCAGAAGCTTGAGCTATTGGATAGCAGGGTGCACCATATCTGATCATGGCTGCCTCGACAGAGAGAGCCTAAAATGAAGTGGAAGAGTTGGAAACACCAAGAGGGACCGCAGAAATCTAGGTGTAGCTGCCAATCTGGTGCAATCAACAGGATCTGGCAATGAGTTAGAAGAAGTCATATTTCGTACCCTGGGTAACATATGAAGTGGAAAGAGGTTGAGAGTGATATTCCCATCTTGTCTAAATGGAAATCATCTATTACCAAGGCATAAAGATGAGGTACTGAAGACCAAATTGCCAGTAGTTGGGTAGTCCAATGAGAGGCCAACCCACCAATTAGAGTTGCAAAATGAAATACAATCCAACCGAACCTTGCAATACAACATAGATTCTGTCAGGAAAATATGTTTAGATTGAGACAAAAGACCTGCTATCACAGGCATACCCGTTGGAAATGGCAAGCTAGAATAAGATTAGATAAGATTAGTCCCGAGAAAGGAGGTCCAAAATATGAAAATATGGAGCCCTAGACCACATGCTTCCTTGATGAGAAACATAAAACACCACCACGGTATATTCAGAAACCTGACAATGTACCCTTTAATAAGCCCAGACCATGAGACCTTATCTGTTGAAGAGCAAGAAGGATGAAAACATTGGGTAGGGAATCCTCTTTGTCTGTGCATACTCTGGAATTCCTGTTGGCATATGTACCGCATCCCTGAAGCTTAAAGACCAATAAAAGGATCGCTTGTGTTCTTGTCGCACAAGCACAAAGGATTCCAGTGATGCCCACATTCCTAGAAGAGAAAAAAACATCTGTGCAGTAAGAGAAGGATAGGGGAGTAAGAGTGTGACATCCCATTCTATAGCACTGAGCAGAATGGGAGGCAGCTGAGCCCAACTGAGAGATGAGATGAAAAATACCCAGACTGATGACATATTGAATTGGAGCAACAATAGATGCAGTAGTCCCAAAAGAGAAGCCTACCTGGGTTGTACCTGAAATTAGAAGCAGGATGTAATAGTCAAGATGTTGCAAGCAGTAACAGTTATTCATGGAATGGCATGTGCACAATATGATGGAATGAAGGGGATGAGAAAACTCATACAATACAGCAGAACCCATGGTATGCCCATGTGAGACTGAAGGAAAAAACTCAGAACTGCAGTACCTGACCCTTGTGCACCACAAATGCAAATAGTGATGGGAGTACACTGTTAAGTGCAGATAGGAGCCAACTACAACCAAGCTGGACATCTACAATCCCAGTAAAAAAATCCACACAGATTGAGGAATGATTAACTTGTGAGCTCTGGAGAATCTAGGTACTGGTATAGATAAGAAAGATTGATGACTGGACACTAATCTCCTGTTTTCATAGGCCCAACAACTAACAGGAATAAAAACTCTTATGAACCAGCCCAACTCTCTCACTACCCCCAGACCAACCAGACTCAGATAACACTAGAACTAAGTTCCAAATCCAACTGAACTGCAGGAGACAGAAACCCTACAGGTTGGGTGAAAAATAGTGGGGAAGATGTCAAATGACCGACCAATTGTGACCCAAGGTCCTGCAGGGCTTCTGAACCAACGGGTAAGATTACCACACATCCAGAAAATCTTGGAACTGAGCCCTCACAGCACCTGAAGGTAGACAATAATCACAGACACTGTTGGCGATCTGACTAAGCTGTGGAAACCTTGAATATAGACAGAATCTATACTATGTACCAATGAACCAAGGAGCTGATGTTGAGGATCGATACTCACGAACTATGACCCCCCTGTAGGAACCAACGAGATTTGAGACTCCAAAAACAGTACAGGATAGAACCATGGTAACTCAATGACAATGTAAGTGAACTATACATGGATAGTCTGGCTATACAAATAGAGAAAAATTGTTCGGCTTGTCAACTGAATTCCAAAGCAATTGAAGAGGCCTAAGTGGACTTTTGACAAGAAGAAGAGAACTATAGTATTTAAGATATAACTGTGATCTCCATAGTGTAAGGAATGTTTAAGTTGTTCAGAATAGATATATTATTTTGAAAATAAGTGGAGTGCATGATGTTTGTTTTTAATTTATCCCCAACAAGTCACAGACGTCTGCTGTAGAAGAATCCTTAGTCCAACACACCCATATATTTACTTACTTAATATATACTACTTAAAAAGTAAGTTTCCTGACAATTTAGCGAGCCATATAAAAATTTCCTGTTTACCTGTAACATTTGCTGTTCTTTCAACTCATCACCTTCTTCAATGTCTTGACTGGAAGAGTTATGTTCGACTGAGTCTTAAAAAAAAGAAAGAAAGAAAATCATAAAGAGATATATTTTGACTGTTTAAAGATAAATTATTTTTCTTAAAATCCTTTTGAAATAACTGGAAAGTTTACTTCATCATCTACACTAATGCAAATGATCAACTATGTATACAATCAAATTTACCACAAACCTCCATTAATGTAATACTATGGTTAAGATCCAACTTTACCTCATGCAAGGTGATGTTCATGTGAAGAATAAGAATACTTTTGCTCATTATACAGTATGTAAATTACATTTGAAAAACCTCTACAATCTCCTAAATGTAAATCTAAAGTCTTTTTCAGTATCCCTGCATACTGTACCAGAATTGTTGCAAACTTAGCAATGTTGGATAACATGAAATATTGATAACTGGTATCAAACTCACAATACCATGTTGAACAGCACTCTGTACAAGGTCAAAACATGCACACACTGATACTCCACCTATGCACATAGAGTTAACCAATGATACACAAGATCAACACAAAAGTTATAAGCAGTGTTTGAAGTGGGGTGGGATGAGGCAGGATGCCATCCAACTTCTTTTCAGGAGGGCCCTGAACCATTCCACTATCTCTTAGTAGACCTGAAACTGCCCCGGTATTTTTACAGTCCACTCCCACTTTCCATAAACAGTCTAATTCACAAAATGTGTAATATTTCAGTAAACATTACAAGTCTTTTGTACATAAAAAATCAGATTTTTTAATTAAGTATTTTCACTAATCATTTGTCCGTGAATATATGGAATCAAAGTACTGATTGCTCCAAGTGCAAAATGATTTTCATGTTAAGATTAAAAATACTTTTCTTCACCTGAACACCATAAAATTTCATTTGCACAATTTATAAAAACCACTTAACCCTTTCCAGATGGGTCACAGTGAAAGGCCATGTCATCGCATTTGTTGACTCGCATTCAACATTTTATTGAACTACTATGTCATGAATTTATGTCATTAAGTTTGATATCAAACTGTAGATTATAATTCAAATTTTAGTATTGTACCCTTACTAAATTTCTCAATTTAAAAGTAAATATTAAAACATTGATATTTGTGTGTCATGTGGTACATTGAATGCAGCACTGGTTCAAATTAGGTGTTTGTGATGTCAAAATACTAAGTCTATAGTTTCAAATGAATTAGGAACACAAATTACCAATACTAACAAGCTAGAATATAAAATAAGAGCCTCGTATTTTTTCAATTTGCTAAGGTAATGCTCATGTAATAAATCAAACACAGTGGCACCCTGCCCACCTCTTTCCATTTTTGGAAACACTCCCATATATATATATATATATA